AGATTTATTCCATTTTTTTTACAAAATCTTATTACATTCATAATAAGCGAGAGCAAGAGGCGTAATTAATATACATTCAAGATTTCATTTACGAGAAAAGACGATTTTAGAGAAATTGTTTAAGCGGAGGCCGTGGAGGTTGCAAGCTTTATTCGGTATTATCGAGTCTATTTACGACAATAGTCGGGCCGGAGCATTCTCTACAAAACTGTAAAATGAATTTTTATGAAAACGAGCAAATCAAAGGGCACCATGTCTCTGCAATCATAACGGTATTCGTCGGTATTCGTCGCTTTGGCAAAAAAAATCACGAAAATAGAGACCGGTTTGTGGTTTTGATACCGCCTAGAGAGTTGACAGTGAAGCGTGCATTTTCCTTACTATCGAATCAAAAATGTTTCGATTGCGAAATTTGTGTAAAGTGACTCATTGAATATACGACCAAGTTTATTCGATGCCGGCTCCAGTGTTGCTTAAAAACAAAGTGAATTATAGCACAATTCGTAGTTGAAACATTCATCGCAATTCCGCAAACAGATTTATGAGGCATATCAACTTTTCGAGTTATCCCCTTCAAGTTTTTTCAAACTATTTTCTAATATTGATTTTTAGTAATCGTTTAATGGTCGATAGTCTGAACTAGCGCGCAACCTATCTTTAACAACTGAATGATCATTTTTGATTCTATCTTGAGCGAACTCTTCGTCAAGCTTTTGGAAGCAATTTTCTAATATCGATATCTTCAATATTTTCTACATCTAAGAATGGCGATGATCGAGGCCTCAAACTCCCATGTGCGAGTATGAATTCTTCAGCTATCTGTCCTTTCAAGATGATTACGTAATATGGATTTTCTCAATATTTTTCATATTAGATTAGAGCAAGACAAGTCTTCAATTACTTTAATAACTATTTCTTAGTGACTTGCAACTTTCATAAGCTTTCAAGGTCTTTACCGAAATTTTTAACTATTTCTCCTACGAAATCGTATTCGAAAGACCTATATTCCCTTTCAAACCTTTTTATTCCTAGTAAAATAAGTAAAAACATTATAGATACACCAATCACTCATAACCTCAGAATATCCCAAAAATTCTGCAAACTGCAGAATGAATATCAGAAACCAAAACAGACAGACGAACAGACAAATTTAGAACGATTCGCAAAATAATTTTGGATCGATGGATATAGTAAAAAGTATATCTATCTCAAGTTCTTTTGGGTTTCGCATACACCCGTACAAACTTAATGTATCCTTACATCATAAGGATAGGAGTGTTGGGTGTAAAACCGAAGGCATGCCAATTGCTATGTTTCTCAAACGGCTCTGAATATTTTCATTCCCTCTCCTTAGCCAAATTAAGTGATATTCCTCCTTAACCTTCTTTAGCAAACTTGGTTATTGCAGTTCTGCATATCACTAGTTGCAAAACTTGTTTAAAAAAATTACATGAAACGAAAGCATGAAATGCAAACCAAAAGCTGAGTGTATCTCGCGCTAAACTAGAATAAATGCCAAAACTTATCCAAGAAATCATTCATTTGTAAATTTTGCTACCATATGCTTAGTAAAAACTCTCTTATGCCTTCTTGGTATGGCAAATAAAAGCACAAAAAGAAGGGAAAAGAGAGAATGGATGACTGGATGACTGGATGACTGGATGTATAATAGTAGTAGTAGTGTTAGTAAATTCTGTAATGCATGTAACACTCCGACTGACTGTTGTAATATATGCTTTATATAAAATTATCTTATCTCAATGATGAACTAAGGCATGTATGTAGGCAGGTATACATGTGTAGAGGCGACAAAATACACAGCTAGCGAAGAAAAAATTCGTATTTTTGTATTTGTACTGCGATCGGTTGCCGCTTAATACACAGATATTAAAGCAATCTCTTTACTTAGCACATGATTTATATATACATATGTGTATATATATATATATATATGTTATATATATATATTATATATATATATATATATATTCGCTGGTATCGTTCGTTCGTTTAAATTGTTATGTTATTATTGCTGTTGTTGTTGTTATTGTTAATTAATCGGATTAAAACGATTGATATATGATTGCAAAGTGATTGGTAGGCGGTTCCCGTATTCACGGGACATTGTATGAAATACCTTTTCAATTACAAAATTTCATCGACTATTAATGGCTGGTAACAGTAAACGAATTTTGAATTTATTTCATATATATATATATATTTTTTTCACTGATTACACCGAACAGTTATCACTGCAATTGCTTTGATTATCAGATTACTACCGAAAAAAAAAAGAAAAAAGTTTTTAATTTTTTGCTTTATTTTGTTTTTATTTTTGTTTTTTCTTTGACTTACATATTGTTATCAGCAGATGTATAGCCTGAATGCAGATAATAAGGCAAAGTTAGTCTTGTTCGAAATAAACGTTTTGTAGTTCGTAGTGACTTGTGTTGAGGATAAGCGCGAAATCACATAATTTTCATAAGAGGACATAATTTCTTTTGACGCGATCATAGATAATTCTTCTGTTTAAAAATACAAACGCGTATATATATAAATATATATAAATATATATTTATATTGTATATATACATATATACATATATATATTTGTATACAGGTATTTATTAAATGTATTTTTAATTTATTTGCCATATGTATGCTGTACACATGTACGCGTGGTTTAATGAAATTTGAAAGAAAAAAAAAAAATTATTAATGGTTAACCTTGATAAAAGTTAAAAAGAAAAGATGAAAAAACTCATTTTTTTTTTTTTTTTTTTTTTTTTTGAAAAAGTTCACTTTCTACATATATTTGTTTAATAATAAAGATGAGTCGATCTTTTTATTTTTGAAAAAAAAAAAAAAGAAAATCATGGAAAAAATTTTTTTTGAAAATATAATTTGCATATAAAAAATTTTGTTTTTTTTGCTTTGAATGTCTGCTTACTGTCAATGTTTACTACTCTCGTTAATACTGTAGTAGTTGAGACAACATGGGACATAATCTTAAGATAATTCAACGGAGCAGTAGACAAAGTACAGAGTACATTAGAAAAAAAATGTGCAATATATATACATATATATATATATATAGCGTTAATAGAAGACTAATAAATAATACGAAAGGATGCGAAGGAAAGAAAGATACCTCATGTATGTGTACATTTATATGCATATCTTTTTAGTAGTTCGAAGTAGAAACACCATAGTCGGCCACAGACCCCAGCATTAAAAATCTTTCAATGTTCTACACTTACTTATACAACGACTTTTCAAAATAAGGCGTTATATGTGAATTGGTCGCAAAAATAGTCACATCTGAACCGGTTTCAATAGCGTTCGTCCTTGGCCCAAGACACGGCAGGTTTGCCAAATTTCATCTAAATATCTTAACAGCTGCGACCTGTAGGTTGAACACGAGAAAGTAAAGCAGACAGACAAGCCTAAATAGTATAATAAAATGGGGATCTATCTCAAGACCTGCTAGGTGTTGCACATCGATAGCGTTCGACCTTGGCCCAAGACACGGCAGGTTTGCCAAATTTCATCTAAATATCTTAACAGCTGCGACATGTAGGTTGAACACGAGAAAGTAAAGCAGACAGATAAGCCTGAATAGTATAATAAAATGGGGATCTATCTCAAGACCTGCTAGGTGTTGCACATCGAGCGTTCGACCTTGGCCCAAGACACGGCAGGTTTGCCAAATTTCATCTAAATATCTTAACAGCTATAGGTTGAACACAAGAAAGTAGAGAAAAGAGACAGCCTGAATAGTGTAATAAACTGCGGATCCATCTCAAGTCCTGCTAGGTGTTGCATACGACCTCAAATACTTAATATACGCTTCTATCACGTGTAGTGAATGATATAAAAAAGTTAAAGCATATCATGGAGGTAGTCGAAAAAGAAGTCCGATCCGAACTAGTCTTGTCCTTGGAGCGAACCGCTTCAGTGTAGCCAATTTCATCAAAACATCTCAAAAATTGCGACTTGTAGGTTGAATGCAAGAAAGCAAGACGGACAGATGAACAGATGGATCGACTGGCCAGACACGTTTAAATCTGTTGCGAAACGGATACTAAATTGTTCGATACCATGGAAGGTGGGTCTACCTTTTCGCGCAAGCTTAATACACCCTTGTATGGCAAGTAGCCATGTGATCCTTTATGTCCCTGTGATCGCGCTCAAAAGACGCCTATATATATATGTGGTGTGGATCAACTGTAAAAAATTGGCGTTTAATCATTGCAGTTAAGGCCCATAGTTACTTCCTAAAGTCACTTTGCAGGAATTTTTTAAATCTTTCTTTATTTATTTATACTTTTCTCACATTCAGCTGAGCTAAGCAACAGTTTAAGATTGAAGCCTTCAAAGACGATGATATAATAGAGAAGGGCATCGATCAGAAGCAACAGCAAAGTTCATAGTAAACACTTTTCCCAATTCAAAGTTTTTTGCAAGACATATTTTTTTAGGCTTACAGTACTAGCCCAAGTCGAAGTTATCGACAAGAGTATGGATCCGAAGCACCAGAAAAGTTGAAAGTAAGCAGTTTTCAATATTTTCAGGGTTAAAGAACTAACTAGTGATCGCAAATCTAAATAACTATATAAGTAGCTAGCACAAGGTAAGATTTACTGCAGTTGGGTTTCAATCCGCGAACTCTGGCATGGCAGTCGAGAGTGTTATCTCCGTAGCTATGTGGTAGGTTTGTGGTAGCAGTTCGCACTTCAAAAAAGCCCTTAATATTTTTATATGTTCAATTGTTTGGCAGTATCTTGCAGTTTTATGCTGCGATCGGCTGTATTTTTCAGTATTTTAAAAAAGTTTCTAATACTATCTCAAAGACTAATCCTAATCTCTGAATGTCTTATGGAAAAACTTTAATTTCTTAAGCTCTTTTCAAACAATGTTGTCGTCCGTTCCGTTATTTCTCTCTCATTAAAAAAGATTGCATGAGATATTAAAAGATTTTTTTGATCATGTTTTTGCAGTATAAATGGCCTCAACGACAACAAATCAAAATCAGAATCATAAAACACCGAATGATGAGGGTGCTACCGAAAATTTGATGAACAATAAATCTCACAGAGATGATAAAGGGGAAGGAGAAGAAGAATTTGACGTTGACAAGTCTACGGCCGCCGTTGTGGTGCCACCTGATAGCGGTTGGGCTTGGGTGGTAATGGTTGCGTCATTCTTTTGCTGCACTGTAATCGACGGCATTGTCTTTTGTTCGGGCCTTATACAAGTCTCATTAATTGAAGAATTTCAAGTGTCCAAAGGTTATGTGGCGTTTGTCTCATCACTATTAAGCGGTTGTTATCTGATTGCTGGACCATTTGTGAGTGCTTTAGCCAATCGTTTTGGTTTCCGCCCAGTTACTATAGCTGGCGGTTTATTTGCAGCTGCCTGCTTTGCTGTATCCAGTTATGCTACCAGTGTTGAATGGCTATTCATCACCTATGGCATCTTAGGCGGTATTGGTTTTTGTATGGTTTATATACCAGCCGTTGTCATTATTGGTTTTTACTTTGAAAAATGGCGAGCTTTAGCAACAGGCTTGGCTATGTGCGGCTCAGGTGTGGGCACATTCGTATTTGCGCCTTTATCGAGTTACCTATTGGAGAATTACGGTTGGCGTCAAACAATGCTGGTTCAAGGTGGTATTATAGTATCATGCGCTATATTCGGTATGGCTTTCCGACCCATACAACCCATTACACTGGCAGTAACTGATGGCGACAATGCAGATGCTGAACAAAATAAGCATAAATTAAACGGCCATACAAATAAAGTAGCACCGAAAACACAATTTGCGGCGAATGCTTTCAGTAAGCCATTGCCGGAGGGACGGTTTGCTTATTCTATGCCCAATTCGGCTCATAACACTTACATGGGACAATCGCCTAAACATCACTATCCGACGGCCGCGGAGGTTTTCAAAGGTGCAAACTTAGAGCGTAGATTATCAGGAGCGTCGGGTAAAAGTACGGAAATGAAAAGTTTACGCAAATCTCAACCCACCACACCTAATGGCGAAGCTCAACAGATTACGTTCAATTTGAACAAAGAATTGTCAACGGTGGGCGAGAACGAAGAAGAAACTGAGAATGAAAATTTGTTAACCTCAGGACCAAAGCCAGAGATAACCCAAGGACGTAGGCACACTGTGTCCGGTAGACGGTCTCAAGATTTGACTAAACGCAGTAACGTGGGCTCGCAAGAAACAGTACACGCTACCGTCACCCGTCCCATGTATCGTGATGATATTTTCTTTTCTGGCTCTTTGACGCGCATACCGCAATATCAATCTCAAACTTCTTTAGCCTATCATATGTCGGTGACACGTTTACCTACTAAACAAGATGAATTGGAGGAACGTCAAAAAGGTTGCCACCTATGCCCGGAGGCCGTCAGGCGCACTCTATCAACGATGTTGGATACTTCCCTGCTCAAATCGCCCTCATTCATGTGTTTGGCTTTCTCTGGATTCCTAACTATGATGGGCTTTTTCATACCGTTCACCTTTTTAGTGCCGCGAGCAGAATTGGCCGGCATGTCAGCGAAATCGGCTTTAGGTGTTGTGTCCGGTATTGGTTTAGTTAACACAATTGCTAGGGTTTTATGTGGCTCTATATCATCGTTTCCGAGCGTGAAGCCTTTACTACTTAATAACGTCGCCATCACGGCTGGCGGTATTGCGACAATGTTTAGTGGTGTTGTGATTACACCAGCTACGCAATGGACGTTCGCGGTACTATTCGGTGTTTGTATTGCATGCTTTTCAGCGTTACGCTCCATTATAGCAGTGGAAATGATTGGCTTGGAAAAGTTAACAAATGCTTTCGGTTTCTTAATGTTATTTCAGGGTCTGGCAGCGACTGTAGGCAGCCCCATTGCCGGTAAGTGGAAAAATGTATAAAAAAGTGAGAAAAAAATTTCCCTTCAATAGGAAAGAATTAAATATTATTTTATTATTGTTGTTGTTATTGTTTTTGTTATTTTTGTTATTGTTTCAGGTGTTTTATTCGATATGACAGGAAGTTACGACGTGTCCTTCTATTTTGCTGGCGGTTTAATATTGCTTTCGGCCTTCCTATGCTATCCACTTACTTGTGTTTCGAATTGGGAGAAGAGACGCAGCGAAAAGAGAAATCAACATTTAACGCGTGCTTAAAACCCTAAGTTTATCCTATCTTTTCTCTATGTAAAGCCGTACACACACAAATACACGCAAAGACACACATACATGCATACATACATTATGACATACATACATACATACATACATACATAAATAAATAAATAAATAAATAAATAAATAAATATATGCATATACACGTACATATATATACACAACGATCCTAATAGTGTTTAAGGGCATTAGCATACGGTTTACTTTCACATGCACATATATGCAGATACGCATATAAAAGTACATTTGTACGTATGTGTAAATATAAACAATAATCACTTATTTGATAAGAGTAATAATAACGACAAGTACAGAGCAGTGAAGAGAAGAAAGTCAATACACAAAGGAAGTAAAAGAAATGAAACGACAGAAAAAACATAAACATAACAAAACAATAATTTAAGCGTAAATTATCTCTTAATGAGAACAAAAAAAAAAAAAATATATATATATATATATATATTTAAACAAAACAGAAATTGTAATAAACGGCAAGCAAATAACATCTACGTTTGTATTTTTATGCGAATATCATCAGCATATTTAATAACATAAATAGATATATATATATATATATATATGGATAGATAAGTGCAAGTGTAAATTAATTTTTCAACATCTTCAGAGTTAAGCAAATAATGAAAAATAAATAAACATAAATATAAATGTAACGATTATCTATCGATATATAATACACACACACACACACAAACAAAACGCAAGCACAGAGAGAAACAAACACACATAGATGGGGTGGTATAATTTCTGATAATTAAAACTATTGGTCTAATTATTGAATCATTTATTTTAGTTTACTCCAAATAAAGAAAAAACATTTTTTCTATTTTTTTATTGCAATACGTTAATAATATTAATAAATACTTTCATATGACTTGCCTTAATAATCAAAACTTTTTATATAAATATATGCACTAACACATGAAACTACATACACGAACACGAAAATACAAATAAACCGACACACTCAGACACACAAACATACACAAACACATACAAACACACATGAGTATGAGTATGTATATATATATATGAGTATATATATATATATATGAGTATGTGTATATATGCATATATACATATATATATATAATAAATGTAAAAAAATGGTGATCAAATGAGACTGAACCAGGTTAAAAAAAAAATAATAATAATAATAATATATTTTCTTTTTTATATATATTCATGTTAAAATATATATGTATATATATATATATATATATATATATTATTTATATTAATAACTATATATATATATAGCAAACAGATTATTACGTACACAACAAAGCAAATTCGTTTATTCTATTGATCCTATTTTAACGTAAAAAAAAAACAAAAAAAATTAAAACAAAAGATGCTGTTGATCAGCTTTAACACAGTTTTGCAATAAAATCCCCCAAAAAAAAAACACAGAAAATTGCTTTAATGCCTTTTGTTTGATAGGATTTCAAACCTTCTAATGCAATAATTATGAAAGCGGGTTAGGAATGGGTAAAAGAAAATTCGATCTATCGTCTACCGATTAACGCGTGATCACCTACAGAACACGAGACATATCGTCAAAAACATGGATAGAACATAAACTGCAGTTACATTCGACTTGGGGTCTCATACTCATTTTGTCATAATGTTTACAACGCCCAAGAAGAAGCATCAGACATACTACAATATACATATATAACGGGAAAGTGTCAACAACACACACCACACAGACGGGCAGACATAGCTAGATCGATTCATAATCTCACGCCGATTAATTATACATATATATATATATGCATAATATATAATGCATATAATATATATGTATATATGTCGCAAAAATGAATTTTCCAACTTCAAGTTTGCTAAAAGCATTGGAAATTCTTGCACGCAGTTCCGTATTCACAACGGTCAAAATTGGTCAAGAGACATAAATCATTGTGAATGAATGGTGATGGGTATACAAGATTTGCCCTCAGTCGGATATAATTTTCTTTCTTGCTATATACCTCACAAGGCAGTGTTGAAATACCAACATGATCATTATCATGTTATGATGATGCAAAGATAAGGGGTAGGCTTTGCAGCACCCAATGTCTAATAAACTTTTTGTTGTTTTATATATATTTGATCAGACCTGCAAGCGAACATCCATGATACAGGTAGATACAATAGTGTTTGGGAAAAATTGTCAGTGAAGAAGGGAGGAAATGGAGAGGAACGTTCGTGCAAGCAAGAGAAAGCTCTGTACAGGAAAATTATTCTGAAGACAACTAACGCGATCGTATTATCTATGAGTATCTCCGAGACAAATGAGTGAAAACACTAAGATAACGCGAGAAAATAGTTTTTTTTAAATAAATTTCTTATCTCTGTAGAATACTCGCCTCGGAAGTACCTATACATAAGCATAGTCCACGTTATGCCAATGTACAAGAATATCGAGAATGTTGATTGCATTCTTTTCATTCGTGAGCAGCAGAGTCTTTCATGGTCTATGGTCAATAGCCTCCAGACAAGACGTGAAAGCTGCTGCCCACAAACATGCGAATTGTACGCTAATCTATTAAGTACTTGAAATCGCGTCATCTTATGTTTCGTCATAGTCGTGAAAATGACATTTGCAGGAAGTGTTTGCACAATTGCGCAAACTTTTGTTGGGTTAAAAAAATTTTAAATTTCATCCATAGACTTAAAGTGGGAACCTATATGTCCAATCCCAACCATCTAAATCAATTTTTCCCTGGGTGGGACTTCTAACAAGAAACGATAGTTTGTTCGTTAAGAAGATCCACAATACCAAGTGCAATTCTAAAATATCGTCTCTACTTCAGGTATTAAGCTGACTGAGACCATTTTATGTTTACAAGTTCTTTTTCATAGGGAGACGACGCTTCAAGGCGAAGTGTGTATATATATATATAAGATAAGGATCTACAATCTTCACCCCACAGTATACAAAAAGATCAAGCTATCGTTCAGGTAGTTGAAGAATTAAAACTAGGTCGAGTTCATGGTTCTCGATATCGACTAAGCTTTGAGTATGTTACTGGTCGACAAATTTTACGATCGAAAAATTTTTCATCCGATAGTAAGAATAAGTAAAAACAGTACAGTGCGATATGAGCCACAATAATCAGATAGATCTAGATCACCTCGCTTAATACAGTTATTTATACAACGATTTTTCCAAGTAAATGGCCCGAACCGAACCATTTTCGTACTTGGGCCAAAACGCGAGTATGTACCAAATTTCATCAAAATATCTTCAAAATTGCGGCCTGTACATTGAATACAAGAAAACAGGACGTACAGACGGACAGACAGAATTAAATCTATTCAGAAAGTGATGCTACTGGTTTATGGTATACAAACGTCCAACATATCGACAGTGGCCTCGTTACCGCGAATTATCGACTTTACTCGATATCGAGAACTATAAATCGGACAATGCATGTTTTTGTTATTCCATGCAGACTATCTGCTGTCTCAGAAAATCTTTTTTGAAGAAATTTCGTATGACTGGTTTAGCTGAGCCATGAAAACCATAAAAATTTCCTAGGCTTGTAACCAATAAACGACAAATCCAATTTTACTCATGCTCTCTTTAAATGAGAGAGCAGAAGCCGATTTATAGTTATCGATATCGAGTAAATTCGGTGGTAATTTTTACGTTTGCGGCTTATATCTGTCGATTATCGAGTATCGAGTAGTGGGTTTACAACACTCGACTCATATAAATGCACAAAAGTGTACTAACAAAAACGTTGCTCGTATGAAGTGCGCATCCGATATCGAGTACATATGAACCGTGCCTAGCAATTGTGGATTACTACGACCATTATCAATACGTCTTTAAATCATGCCTGTTATGAGACAAAAAAAAATATAATTTCACATTTACATAACCTTTTCCGTAGAAAGTGGCAGAACGGTGTATAAATGATTTTCCAGTTTTATCATCGCATATACGCACACACCTCCCTAAGCACATTTATACTAAGTTTTATACCTTTAATGGCCTAAGAAGTTAAGACGGCTTCTGGTTTTTTACTACCTGTGTCTTTTTTGCTGGCTATGCCTATCTTTAGGATGAAATTTAGGTGACTCTGCATAGAGGTATGCTAGGAATTTTGAATTATAACTACGACATAATGATATGCACCAGAAAGTTTGTAATTTATTTTTGCACTATTCATAATCATTTTACCCTTAAAATATGTTATTACCACGAATATATATAAAAAAGCTCAGAAGCAAAGAAATTAAGTGTGAGAAGATTTTTTTAATATATGCAACACATAGAGGGTAGAATAATTATAAAAAAAAAAAAACAGTATTCAGCAGCAAATGAAAAATTATTTCTTCTTTTTACCAGCTTCATCAAGCTCTTGCAGTCGATGCATGCGTTGCGGAAAAGTTGGATGGGAATGACTCCATGACGAATATAAGCAATTGTGTATACGAAACCCGTGATTGTCGAGATTTAATTTAATCAGAGCCTGACTTAGCTTCGAAGAGAAGCCCAATTTTTTGGGCAAACTAATCAGCCTGATATTCAAAACGGCGAGATAGGATAGTCATAGCATCACTTTTACTTTTCGTATGTTTCACTTTACATCTGTTCGTGCGCATGCGCAACTTAGGGTCGCTGCCCGTAGGATGATAAAACGTATTTCATTTTAACTTACACTTCGTATTTGCTTGACCTTTAATTATTTTTGTGGAAATCTTGAAACACCGCCACCATCAGGGCGGCCAACGTCAAACGATAATATGGGAAAGAAAGGGGACTTTCGATATTTTGGACATAAATCGAATTAATTGCGTTTGATTCTCTCTTTTTTAAAATAAACATATTTTTGTGTATTAAGTTGGAAATTAGCATAAAGATTTCTTGGATTAATCAAGAACACGAGATTAGAATATGGCCGTGCTCTGCTAATAGTCACACCTTCAATCTATACGAAACTGAAAGAACTTTGGGAAAACACTGACAATTTTCTAATATATTCGCGTATAACTTTTGAAACCGATATTTTCAAAAAACTTTGACCCAGTTGTCCACTAGGATCATTTTCATGTACAATCCAAAAACCTAAAACGTGCGCATTTAACAATTAAATGCGACCGAGTGTGCTTCAGAATAAATGCAAAATAAGTCGGAACTATGTATAAAGGAGAAATCTTAACCAATTTTCTCGATTTTATTCTCGAACAATGCCCCGAAGCAGGATTAAAGTCGCCTCTTATTTAAACAAAATTATTTATATTTACGTGTATGTGTGCGAAAGCATCTGATATGTCATATTTTCAAAGTCGGTCAGCGGCCATTGGCAAAAGCAAAGCATTTCTAGATAAAGCGGCAGACATGTTTATGGATGGGTGGATGTACAACCGTCTTTGAATCACACGCTGGCTAAGAGTTAACTCAATTTAGTCTAATATTCGGTTTTCTCAAGGATCTTTAATACATTTTCAGCTTCAATTTGTAAACTTTTTGCAATTATTTTACCGGCAAATAAAATATCTTTTGGATATGTTTGTGTTTTCGTTTATTTAAGTATGACTCCAATAATATAAATAAGCAAAAGGAAGAAAAACATAGCAAAAATAAAATGTATAAAAATACAAATGAAAAAAAGTATTGAAAGTAATTTTCTTTTTCAAATGAACATAGTGTCGATAGTGTTTGCTGTATTCAAGAAACTTGCAACTGCGCAGGCTTCTCTACAATCAAACAACGCCATGTCAAAGGACAAAAAGAAGTTCTCTTTTGAAATTCTGTAAGAATTGCTATACTTCTGGTTTTAGTCCAACTACGTTTGGGTACCAATTAAACATTTGCGTTACTTTTCCTGATTTAAACAATTTATAAATTCTTCTAGTTTTTCCTGGATATGCCGTACTTTTACTGCAAAGACAATGAATGCAACGTATAATATAACGTATAGTGAGAAGAATTTAAAAAAGCGAACTTAAGTGAACTTACTAAGCTCTTCAGCTAAAAGCACACGTTTACCGGTTAATAGTTGAGCTTTCTTTTCCTCATCTTCGCTAAACTCATCTAAGACTTCTTTGATTTCTTTGTCTAAACGGCGAGCTTCACGATTTATCACTTGCTGACGTAAAGCATTACAAGTGACTTTAATAACCTGTTGAATGCGCCAGAAAAGCACCACATCGCTACAACTGATCTGTAGAAGAAATGAATATAGTTAAAAAGAAAACCATTGAAAGTATAAACGAGGTTACCTCGCATTCTGTCCCTTGTTGTGTGTATAAGTAATAAGCTTTGCGGCAGTCGTGAGCACGATGTAGGGCTTGTTTTAGGAAATGCCTACGAGTGAGAAAATTAATGTTGCAATCTTATGAAATAATTAATTGCCTACCGCCTATACGTTGGAAACCACGTCTGTCGTATGTAATCGGTATCAACCTCTACACCCTCTCTTTGCAAGTTTTTTCGCACTGTCGTCAATTCATCATACGATAAAGTGGGTAAATGTTTCTGAAAGTGATTACAAAACATTCTCACACACTTAAACAATTTAATAATAGTTTTTTCGAAACAACCTCATCAGTTCTTAAAATTTTGTCCAATTCATGTTTTACATGACGACGTTTAGATTGATCTTCCGTTAATGATTTCCAATGCGTTATGCGAGTAAGTTGACCGGGACCCATCATTTCACTTAGCGTATGTTCCGTCTGATCCAATTTATCTTTAACAGAAGTTTCTAAAAATTTCACCGCATGGTCCCATTCAGTTTTATCATGAACAAAACGATCTTCCAGTGTATTCAGCTGTATAACTCGTAACATATCTATGGCTTTATCTTCCCATGAATGCCGGCGTATCGCCTCATCTATGACAGCCAATTTGAGATTATCAAAAATATCATCGTGGTCCGGGGACTTTCTCGCTTTTTCCATTAACATCAAAAATTGGGTTTGCAGGGTCTCCCAACCTTTAAAATTAGAAAGCAAAAATACATCAATTAATGTTTTCACGAAGTAAAGTCAATACAAACGTCTTTTTTCATTTTTACATTAAGCTATTTATACCAAGTATTTTCAATTTTATCTTATTCCACTAATAAACAGAATAAGAGAAGGAAGGCACTTTATCGAGTTGCATTTTCAACCAGATTGACACAAATGCGATCGTTCGTTCAAAACGTTACATATTCGGTGGGTCCCTGATGACTCGCTGCTTTCTAATCTTATTCTGGGAATGTTATGAAAACTAAATGCTAAATTTTGGAGAAGGCTTGACGCATTGCTTTTCGAAATCTTTGCAAGGATTGCAAACAAACCCGAATTTTTGCAATTTTTACCGTAAAAAACGAATTGGTTTGCAAATCTTGTAGAAGAGTATGTATACCGTTCCACAATAAACTTTTAGAGTCCGAGAAATGAAAACACCAAAACAATGTCCAATAAATTAAAAAAAAAAAGCGAATGAAAACAAGACGATACGGTTCATGGCCACTGTTATCCCGACACCGCACGGTCTATAATACTTGATTAAGGTGTAAGCGAAGCAAAATGAAATGATGCCGTGAATACACCTTGGACAATCACGTCGCTACAGCCATTAAAAATATATAAAAGTAATTAATTTTTCGCGACTTTAATATTAGTCTTCGGGAATAAGAGCCAATAAGCGAAGCCTGTTCTTATAAAAAAATTACATCGCACAATACTGGGTTAAATCTAAACCTAGTAAGTATAGCTACGACTTGACCAGCGAATCTGTTACGCACAGATAATGTAGATCAACTAATGTTATGCTTAACTATATTAGATAGGAAAACAAAGCCTATCTCGCTCTAATGCGCAAGTCCCTACTCTATTGTTTTCAACACTACTATCCCTTGTCTAAATTAACAAGGAATCTATTCGAAATAAATGTTTATTTAATTTACAATTTTAACTATTATATACTGATTGTTAAATTATCTTACCCGATTCCACAGACTTTGCTGGCAACGATTGCTCGGCCCATTGTCTTAGTTTGATATCCACCATAGTATTAACCGAATCTTCAAAAGCAACAAAAAGACGATTTTTATAGTGGTTAAGTTAAAAACAAAACTTAAAAATTATAAGAATAGAAATATATAAACAGTATGGAAGAAATGAAAAGTGTTAATGATAGAAAGTTAAAAGTAGTTTTATATAAGCAAATTATTAATATACTAGTAATTGTATCAATATATTATATGGCGCTATGCGCGCCAAAAAAGAAAGTGTGCTTTTAAAATAAAGTTTATACTTCGCTTAGCTCATTTAACAAAGCATCATAACTCGTTCGAATACATTGGATTCCCGTTAACGATTCGCTTTCGATTTTTGTAGAGCAACTAAGGCTTAATCTTGTTTTTATATGAATTTGAATGATTTCATTTTGGTGAATTGCGTTTTTGACTAAGTTTCATACTACTTTATACAACTACAAAATATTACTTTGAGAACCTGACTGAGCGGCGGGCAGATAGACGTTTTCAAATACATAATTTGACAGCTTGTCCCATAATTTTTCACTTAAAGCTTCTTCCCATTTCTTAGCACAGATTTGCGATAAATTAACCACTTCGTCCAATATTTCTCCTTTGGCCTTTTCAAACAGCTCATCACGACCAGATTCACGCAGTCTTTTGCAAATGCAAATAGAAAAGGAGGAATAGTTTTAAAAATAGTTTTAGCTTAGGAAAATGCAAACCTTGGAAAATTGTTTTTCCATTCAGTTTCCAGATTGAAACGTGTTGCTTTAAAAGCATCAGCTTGCTGCTCAATAGTTTCTCGAACCATTTTCCAAAAGCGATCTGACACAGCCATACTTAAGTTTCGACTAGTTACCTGATGAGGCATTATAACACCGCGACGACTAGAATTATCACAAAAGCGATTTTAATAACATACTTAAAACTTTGTCTTCTACTTAATCATTTGACTAATACTAACTGAAATAGTTTGGAATTTTTAAAGAAATCTTCTTCATATTGCCGGATAGCTTCTATGCTATCATCTTTGCGTCCCCGTCCTGTTACCACAGCGTAATAACCCAAAGCTTTCATGTTAAATAATTTACCAGATAGAATTTTTCTTATCTAGAAGAAGAAGAAAAAAAAATTACTTTTTCCACTGTATTTTTTAGATATTATGGTCTAATTACGTCTCAAGCCTAAAACTTAGGAATTAAATTCTTTTCTTTTTTCTGATTATTGTTAAGTATTTCGCTAACATTTACTAAAAATTTATTATTATTTTTTTTTTTTCTATTTTTAAGTTATTCAAATAAAACGCAAAGTTCGACGACACTGCAAATACATTCTTTTGCTGCAGCAAAACTCTTACCCTATCTGGATCGGCCAATTCCTCAGCTAAATCTACTTTAGTTAATACAAATATGGTACGGCGCCCAAGAGGATCACATTGCATCACCAAATCCGTAACATTACTTCGTTCAGCATCAACCGAGCCATCTTGTATACACAAAATGATAGCATTCGGATTACTCATGTAATGCTTTGTCATTTGATGTATCGAATCTTTGGTATCGGCAGCCATATCAACGGTCATAGTCTAATAGAAGCAAAAAAGAAAAATTAATTTAATAGAGGAGAAAAGGGCTAGGATCACAGTTTTAAATGCCCGTCGCTAATATGTTTTGAAAAAGCCTAATTTTCAATGGGTTATGACATTGCACTTTGCTTTTGAGAACAAGTAACATTTATCCATGTATTTATGCACAGGCAATATTTGATTTTAAAAGGAGTATATACGATATGCTATATTTGAAATTAGATTTTCATGCAACTTGGCAGCATTTCATAGGTAAGTGCACAGACTAACGATCACATTTATGGTTTAGATATGAATGGTACGATTTTGGAAGTTTTTTAATGGAAAAATCTAAAGCTAACAGAAAATTCGCGGCATATGACTTCAAATGAATATTTTTGTTTTTCTTCTTCTTGGCTTGACAAAATTCTGATATTTATTATGAATTATGAAAATGTAGTTATGCGTGAAGCATTAAGCCGATTTTGTTGGCGCACGACGATGACTTAAGGACTTGAACGAAAAAACTCGTCTCAATAAATACGATTTTGAAAGGTTGGAGAAATCACGTGATTGATAATTTCATGCAAAGAGAGGTTAATACTGATTTTTGACACTTAAGTGACAAAAACGGAATAAAGGGGTAATAATAAATAGTTTTCGTCAGATTACACAGCGGATAGACATGTGCTGTTCCGTTAATTTCCCCATTTCAGCAAATTGTACATTAAGGGATATTCGATACAGACTTCGAAATTTTTGTGTTCCCAAACTTTTTCATATATCAAGTGCTGTATTCAAAAATTATTATTCAAACTCACCGATATAATACCCGGCAAATCGACCAAAACCATACGCTGCAAACCAGGTCCTTTTACAGTCATTGAAATCACTTCGTTGCTTACGGTCTTGCCCCCGCGCACCGAAGCACGCATTCGAAATTCCACTTCTCTTCTGAGCTCAGATAAATCGGATTCTTTATTCAAGTCATATTCTCTATCTGAATCGCGAAATTGTGCCACATGATAGGGACCCTCAGCGAGAGTAACTTTTACCGGTGCTCTGGTCATCATTTCACCACTACCTCGCGGAAATATACGAGCCTTAGCTATAGATTCCAAAACTGAAGTTTTACCACTGCTTTGATCACCCACTACTACGACCCGCGGCAGATGATCTGCCATCGAGTAACTGCTGTCGTAGCCAGTTAACTCATCCAACACCTCAGAGTACATATCAATTAGCGATTTTTTAATCTTTTTTGTACCTGTTTTCTTATTTTGTTTGAGTATCAAGAACTGTTGACGCAACTCACGATTCTCCTTTTCCATTTTTTCTAATTCTCTTTGATATTTTATCTGAACGTTTATAACTTCAGTTTGAAGATTTTCAACCTGAGATTGGAGTGCTTCTAAAAAAAACACAATCTCACAAGATAATGAATTAAAACAGAAGTAAATAATATTCATTTACTTACCATACTTTCTACGACTTTCATCATTCGAAAGACTTAGAGCTGTTACGGTAGTTTTTGCTTTAATTTCTCCTTTTGCTGAAGAAAGAGAAAAAAATATTTAATCTACCATATAATGTGGAAAATAGAGGATATTGAAAGAAAATCTCTCACTTTTCAAGTCTTAAGAAAACCTACATTCATTTAAAGTGGAGCCTTGATAATCGGCCGCTTCAATAGCATCGTCCAGTCGTGTATCAAACCATCGTCTCCATTCAGCTATTTTGTCCTCGCTGAGTTGCTTTAATCTGGGATCTATATTTGTGAAAACATTAATTCATTCACATTGTAGATATGCATGATATGATGAAATGTTTTCTATGGCTTAGATTAAGTAGTATTTACGGATACTATGAAAACATTGTGCATTTATTTTAACATAAATTTCCTGACAATTAAACCTTTTAAAGTGAGAGATTTTTCCTATTTCCAATGTAAATATGATATCCATGAAAAACTCACCAATTTCAATAACATCTTTTACGCTACTGCCAAATTCTGCTAAAGCTTTTGAGAATTGTGTCCACTTTTCACCCTTCGGCATCACTTCTTCCAACCATTTCAAATCCGGTAAACCATCTTTCCAATCTTCGTATTTCTAAACAAGAAAAAACATGAAAATTATTATATTGTATACATTATATTGTGCTGGTAAAAGTAAGAAACCACATGAGAAACCTCAAGCAATTACTCACTTTATTTAGTGTCACACCACCGCCAATAGCCCCGCCCAACAATATGTAACGCAATTTAAGAGCGCCCCTTAAAACCCGAGCTACTATCATGCCATAACCACGCGACGGTGGTATCGTCCAACCTTTAGGTCCACGAGGTGCTAAAAAGTACTTGCTCCAGCCATTGCTCTTGCCTCCGCCTTTGTATTTTTTTTGATTTAACGTTGAGTAATAGGAATTACTGGTGCTTGTCACGATTTTACTGCACAAATATGTTATACGTTCGTTCGTGCCGCTGCAAAAGCATATTAATCCAAAAAACAACAATAATTTTTGACAGGCAATGAGAGAAAATAATAATATCATCACAACATCAATTTTGTTATTGCACAATCCTTTTTTTCACATTACCGGTGGCGTGTTATTTGCTTGGCTGCTCGCAACATTTCTTTTCCTAGCGTAAGTTACGCTTGTGACCAACCGATTGGATGAATTTAATAGTTAATCAAACTTTTTTCTTTCCGTTTTTGCAAAATAAATATCCAATTTTTCTTTAGAAGAAGAGCAATAATAAATTTCCTATGATGACATTAGGATCTCTTCTTCTTCTTCCTATACTGAATGGTTTGACAATTGATAGCTTATATTATAGAAATCAATTGCTCAGCCAACAAAGCGACGTTTCGTAACGTGCCAACCGATTTCTTGACTTACGGAGAGTTAACATAAATAACGTAGCGAATTAACTTGTTGTTGCCTATTTTTGCCGCGGTGGCGTTAATATATGTCCTTTTTTCTTTATATTAGAAGCACCATTTACAATTTCAAAGCCTATATTTATACCATAAAATATACAAAACACATATAAAAATTGATGTACCTTTATGAAAAAGGTGACCAAGAAAACTACTGACATATTTTTTATTTTCTGCGTTTTTTAATTTTTTTTACATTAACTTTTTTTTTTTTTGCTTTTCAGCAATAACTGTAACACCATCCACTTCACAAACTTGAAAATTTCTTTGGTGCTTTTTTTTACAAATGAAAAAATGAATTTTTCTTTTTTTTCAAATTTTTTTGGTTTGTCATGAAAAAACCGTTAGATGGATTTTCTTTCTTTACACGTTGAAAAAATGTACCATTTGTTGAGACTTGCCTCCAACATATGGCAACTATCCGGAGCGTTCAACTTTTGTGATGAAGAAGAACAAGATGAACAAAATTATTCATCTGTTCTGTTAAAAGTGTAGCATTACCCGTTAAAATACACGGATTTTCAAGGTTCTTTTTCAAAAATAACGAACTCCTCTATTAACGAAGCGAACTCGTTTGTTGAAACGCATTTACATCCAATGACGTCGAAAAATGATTTGCGCTAAAGACTATTCTATATGATGGGCCAAGGAAGGCGGTTGCAAATGCCACAAATTATGAGTGTCAAAAATCCACAAGCTTGGACGAAAATTTAAAAATTCCAAACTCGTACTTAATCCCATTAGTAAAAAGAAATTCTTTATTTTACGATAATACGGACGATACTCCCAAAAATTGTATAAAACTATTCAGGAGACGTACAAGGGGAGATGAATTTATAT